TTACTGTCTACCATTCATGTCATTACCAAAAAAGGAAATTTTTTACGAATTGGAGAGTTGTGGGAAAGAGTTTTTTTTTTTTATTTCTTGTATCAAATTTGTATGTTTCTTTATTAACATTATTGTTATAAATTTGTTAATCTGTATTTGATTTTTAATATATTATTTTAAAAAATTTTTTTATAAATTGACAAGTTTTGAAAAAAATTTTTTTTTATATTTTAGTATATATTTATACTGTTTTTAATTTGTTATTTCTATAAAAGAAAAATAGCAAATTAATTTATATAATATAATATAAAAATAATTAACAGACTATAATCTTAAAGAATCAAGTAAATCTTAATTTATTAATAGATAATTACTTTTATAAATCACATTTAAAGGCCTTATTCTATTGACAAGTTGAATCAAGTAAATTTATACATATATTTATTTCTCATATTTGTAATGACTATTATAATTTGATTAACAGATTAAAAAAAAATATACATGTATATACAGTATATAATACTATTTATTTTTTTTATTGTAAACAAAATTAGATATGAAACTTTATATTATTGATATTATATCGATTGTTTCATACTATTAGAAGGGAGATATAACAATAACCTATTAATAAAAAGATGTGTATTTAAAAATATATATTAATCTTATATATTGACACATGATCCTGTAGAAAATTATTTATACAAATTGGAATAATTTTTATTTGACGTAATAAATTTTATAGTTACATATAATGTAAAGAATTTTTTCTCGAAAAAAAATACATATAATTTTTTTTAATTTTTAGTGCTATGGTAAAGAATTGTCCTTAAAATATATACAACGCATACATACAAATAAAATTAATAATATTTATATTATTTAATAAACTCAGACATTCACCATTCAAAGCACCACTGAATTACTAAAAAATAATTAATATAAAAATAAATTTGAATATAATATATAGGTGTATTTGCAGTGAGAATTTTAATTTTAGAGATTTTTCCTTAAAACAGGATGCTTAAACTATTGGATTTTTCTGAAGATCTGTTAGTTCACTTTTAGGTTCTATAATCGTTAATACGGACATTCTTATAGTATCATCTACATCAAATTGAATTTCTTTGACCGATACCATCACGGGAACAGACTCCTGATTTAAATTAGTTTCAACTGCTTCTACCAATCCATCTGACTTTTCTTCATTCGTAACATATTCTTTGGGAAGCATCTTTGCTAATATGATCCTCGTAATTCGGTATTGATGAAATATTTGATTCTTGAATTTCATTTTCTAAAAGATGCTCTTCACGTGACTTTATTCGATTCTTTCACATCTGTCGGAATCACTTCACTTTCAAAAAATACTGTATTATTTAACCAATCTTCTTCAAGCTGTATCGGAGGAAGATTCGCAATTTCTGGAAGCACTAGTTCGGAAGATTCTTTTGTGACGTCAACCAAAATTTTTTCCTTTTTAATATCATTCGACTGAATTTCTCCTTGAATTTGTGTGAAGGGAAGGTCTACGTTTTGGTATAAATTAGCATCTATTTTAAAAATGTTCTCCTTAGGTGATTCTGCCGATTTTTCTTGTGATTCTTCCATGGCATTCGATAAAACTGTTATGATCTTATCATCATTTAACTGACTTTCCTGAAGTTGTATAAATAAAGGATCTAATTTCTGGTCTGACTCAGTTTTTATTTTCGAAATATGCTTTTCTGATGAATAGGATGATTTTTCTTCGGACCTTTCCATTGTGTTTGTCAAAAGTGAATTTGTTTTTTCATTAATTAAATGAATTTTTGGGGCTTGTGCTAATGGAGGATCCAGCTCCTGTATTAAATTAGTTTCGATTTCTGAAATATGCTCTTGTGGTAGTTCAGTCGACTTTTCAACAGATTCTTCTATTGTATCCGTCGAAACTACTAGTATTTTATAATCATCCAAATTATTTTCCTCTTGGACTTGTGATAACGAAATATTTTGTTGTTGGTTTAAATTAATTTTTGCTACTGAATGTTCTTGTGATTGCTCCGAAGTTTCCTCCACATACGTCAAATCCTCTTTGTCACTAAAATGACTTTCCTCGTGAATTTGTATCAATGGGTGATCTAATATCTGCTGCAAATTGACTTCAGTCTCTAAAAGGTTTTCTTGTATTTCAGATGAATCTTCAGTGATACCAGTTTCTGAAAGGTGTTCTTGTATTTCAGGTGAATCTTCAGTGATATCCCTTAAAGCCACTTCGACATTTAACTGACCTTCCTCTTGAATTTGCATTGGTACAGGATCTAATTCCTTGTGTATGTTGGATAGTGCTTCCAAAAATTGTCCTTTTGCAAGTTCGGACGATTCTTCCATAGCATTTTTCAAAACAAATTCATTATTTAACCTATTTTCCTCTTGAATTTGTACAAACAATTCAGAATCCCGGTAAAAATTAGTTCCAGTCTCTGAAGGAAGTTCTTGTGGTAGTTCAGCCGACTCATTAGTAACATCTTTTAAAATTATTTCATTATTTAACTGACTTTTCTCATTAATTTTTATTGACGGCAGAATAGATTCCTGATTTAAATTGCTTTTAGTTTCCAAAAGGTGTCCTTGTGGCAACTCAGGCGATTCCTCCACAATATTTTTTAGAACTATTTCATTATTCAACTGACT